CTTCACCTCATCCTTCTCTTCTCCTTCTATGCTCAGTTTCTCACCAAGAGAAATGAATGCTGCCCCTGGAGTGACACTTGCATTTTTCATTTCCCACCCATTCAGGTGAGAAAATTTGAGGTTGGGTCCTAATTACTTATCAGCTGGGTGATTAGAGCAGCCCCACAACTTGCCTCCAGCCCCAGGCAGTGGTCCAGCTTTCCCTCCCCCTTACAGTTCACCCTTCACATGGCTAAGCGATGGTGGCCATTACCTATAGAATGAAGCCCACACCCCATCTATCATTGCATCTTTCACTATTCTGTCTCCACTTGTCTGAAAAGTGTGGCTCCTGAATCAAGAGTATCAGCATCACCTGGACAGATCTGGGTGGCTGGGCAGCCACCATCCAAGGCTTACCTGCACCTCTGGCCAGCCCTGGGTGGCTGGGGGCTGAGGGAACTAGGGGACTCCAGAGGCAGTCACCCCAGTGAGGCTGAGGAGACTGGGCACCACCATCTTATTATGGCTGTGGGTGCCACCATCTTTGAGGGCATGTCAGTCAATTAGCATATTCCCTCCTTATTGGCTGTGAGCACCACCATCTTTGAGGGAGTGGTAGTCAATTCGTATATTTCCTCCTTATTGGCTGTGGGCGCCACCATCTTTGTGATGGTGTGAGGTCTATTAGCATATTCCCTCTTTATTAGATAGGATGTCATTTTGGTGAATCTTACGGGCCCACCCTTCCTGATATGATTCAGGCTTTCACTTAGTTCCAATGTGATTGGAAACTAAATGACTAAAGAATTTAAGTAAATTCAACCCTTCCTATCTCAAGTTTGAGACATGTTTCTCATTCTGTCTCTTATAGCCTCAGTTTCCCCAAGGACTTCAAGCCCAGAGATAGTCTCACTAGAGAAACCCTTTGGAGTGCCTATGATTGACTGTTGCTGTAATCTCCAGAGTAGTACTGCTTGTTACACAAATGGAAAAAATATGGGGATGCATGAATAAAAATAGAATTATTTTGGAATGAAGAGGAGCTACAATCAAAGTGCAATCCAATTTCATTTTAGCCAATTTCTAATTTTATCCTGGTGTGCTCTGGGGCTAGAAATGACATGCTAGGCCACTAGAATAACCAAGCAAAGGAATAATAATGAGGAGAACAATGACAATAATTTTTAAGATTCTCACCTTACCTTACATAATTTTATCATTTATGGATGATACTGTGAAATTTCTGAGGAATTAATATTATTGATTCAATTTTACAAGTGTGGAAAAAGCAAGATTGGAGGAATCATGGGATTTTCTTTAAGGTCACACATAATCAGTAAATGTAACCACCAGGATATGAACATCTAGGTATAATATATCTCTACTGGTATCTGTAAGGACTTTGACTTTAAATTTTTCTTCTTTCTTTCCCTTCACTCCTTGCCTTCTGGGAAGCCAGTCACACGAATGTTACACTCTAGGTATTCTGCATTTCTGTCCATTCTTTTTTTCTATCCAGCCTGCAATGTGTTAATTTTTCTAGTCACAAATGTTTACATTCACCAGCTTGACTTCTGCTATGTTCTGTCTGATGTTCAATACATGCAATGAGCACATACTTTCAGATACTGCAGTTCTGGAAAGTCCACTTGCTTCATTTTAAATATTTCAATATATTTCAGTTCTCTGTTGAAATTCTTTTTTTAGTCCTCACCCAAAGATGCTTTTATTGATGAGAGAGAGAAAGAGGGAGGAGGGAGAGAGGGAGGGAGAGAGAGAGAGAAAAGAAGAGACAATCTCCCAGATTTCTCTTCCCCTCTGCACAGGGTAAGCCCAGTCCTCTAGGCCTCAGCAAACATGCCTTTCCCCACTTCCGGTCCCCACCCCCCCAAGAAACTACCAGCAACCTCATCTCACTTTGCATATGCTCTTTCCTTCTGAAGCTTTTATTCTTCTACCCTTCTTTGCCTCTGTGGTTCACCACACTGTTTTTAAGAATATGATTTTGTGATATGTCTTTATTTTTTTCTAGCTGTTGCAGTAGGAAGAGAAGAGAAGAGAAGAGAAGAACATTGACCAGTTGCCTCTTGTATATAACCCCTCCCCTGAGACTGAGCCTGCAATCTTTTGGAAAAGGGAATGGTGCTCCAACCAACTGACATAACTGGCCAGGGCAAAATTATTTATCTTTTTGTCCATTCTGTCTTCTCCACTAAGCTAACCTCTGTATATTATGTAGCTCTGCTTTCTTTCTTTTTCTTTTTTTTCTTTTCTCTTGAGTATTGGTCACATTGTCCTACCTCCATATGCCTCACTAGTTATGGTTACTTTCCACATGTTACCTATAAAAGAACCATACAGACTGAAGTTCATGGTTTTCCCCCTAGAAAGGCTTTGTCCCTGTCCTCAGCTGACAGTGTGAGGGGCGGAGCCCCCCAAGGCCATGAGGAAGGAAACTGGGTCATGGCTGGGTTGCAGTTAGACTGAGTTCTCTCTGCTTTCACATGTCCCAGGGGTAAGACCTGGTGAGTGTTTGTTGCAGGCCTCTTCCTCTGGTGGGACTTCACCTCCTGTGAAAGGTGAGACTGGGGGAGGTTTGACTCTGCATTTCTCACCCAGCCCCATTCTGGGCAAGTTCCCCTGGAGTTTGCATGGAGAGCTTGTGTCTTGGTTACATCTAACCTGATAGGTTAGAGCTGTGGCCTTCACATCATACAGAGTGGAAATCTGCCCAAGGCCTGTAAAGGACTTCCATTGGGTCAGGTTACAAGTCCCTCCCATTAGTCTATCTCCTAGGAACTTTGAGGTTCCTGGGGATTCACTCTTCCTTGGTCTCCTATGCCATACCACATGCAAGAATTACTGGTATCCTATGGGGAAAGCCAGCCATGCAGCTGGGACTCAAGCAGATCTCCCTCTTTTATAGGAAGCTGCAGGGCTGTGACAATCTCCCAGATTTCTCTTCCCCTCTGCACAGGGTAAGCCCAGTCCTCTAGGCCTCAGCAAACATGCCTTTCCCCACTTCCGGTTCCCCCCCCCCCCCCCCCCCCCCCCCCCCGCCAAGAAACTACTAGCAACCTCATCTCACTTTGCATATGCTCTTTCCTTCTGAAGCTTTTATTCTTCTACCCTTCTTTGCCTCTGTGGTTCACCACACTGTTTTTAAGAATATGATTTTGTGATATGTCTTTATTTTTTTCTAGCTGTTGCAGTAGGAGGAATGCCTTGTCTCTACCCACTACATCCCACTCAAAGAACAAGTCTAAGAACTGTTAGTCTATTTTGTCATCAGTGAAAGCGCATTGAATCAGATTGTCTTGCCAACATTTTATTATGTAAATTTTCAAACATACCACAAAGTTGATAGAAATTTACAATGAGCCACCCACATACCCAGTGGTGTGTTGGTAAGCTTGCTCTCCAGGGGAAAATAAAAAAGCTCTGATTTGTATGGTTTGCTGATTTCTGTGGTGTACGTGTTCCCTCCCACGGCCAATTTTAAGCTACCACTGTGACATGGGGAAGATTTGAGCCATCAGCTTCTGTGAACTCGGGCAGACCACTGCATAGAACCATTACCTGGTTTCTACCACTAACATTTTAACATACTTGTGTTATCACACGTGTATCTATTCCTGTTTCCACCACCCACCCACCTTATTTTTTTTACATTGCAGATATAAGTAGAATTTCTCCTAAATATTTCAACATGCATGTTAACTGGAGTTTAATATTTCTTTAAAGTATTTAAAATATATATATTTCAGAGAGAAGAAGGGAGAGGAAGAGAGAGAACCATCAATGATGAGAGAGAATCGTTGAGCCAGCAACCCAGGCATGTGCCCTGGCAGGGAATTGAACTGTGAACTCTTGGTCATGGGTCAATGCTCAACCACTGAGCCACACTGGCCAGGCTAGAGTATTTTTTTTTTTTTATATGAAATGAATTCTCAGTCTTGTGTATGTGCTGAATTTTGCCAAACTTATATAGCTGTGTAATCTAGCCCCTATCAAGATCTAGATGAGTACATTTACTATAGAAATTCCCCTCAAAACTTGGCCAATTAAAACTTTCAGCTTTTCCTGACATGAACTGTCACTCAACCAAGACTCCTTCATTAAGCTTGGTCAATTGATCATTTCAACTAAATGTCTGTTTTATATTCGTTCTACTTTGTTCACCAGGATCATCAGAAATTTGCTTATATATGACTTTGAAGGCATAAGAGCCCAAGGCCTTCCGTACCCAATGTGTATACACCATTGTGTCATGCCAAACAGCATTACAGACATCACACATTGACCAGGTCCATAGCCCCAGCATAAGGAAGCAACCTCACATCCTGTCCCTCCAGAGTTCCTCAGGTCCCTCTCCCACACTAAATGTATGTGACTCATCCTGATGATAGTCCCATGACATCCTTGTCCTCCCAAGAACAGCCTTCCCCATCTCACGCCCGGCTGATCCTGACCACACTGCACTTGGCAATATAAGCATTTGGCTTTCACCTGTCATAACTCACGGAAAAATATCAGTCAACAGCAGAAAAACAAAATCCAGGAAAACACTCAGCAAGAAAAAGAGAGAAAATCATTTGCCTTCAATTATGAGGAAGGATGTTTCAGACTCAAGGAGTGAGAAATATTGGATAGTGTTTCAAGTTCTAAACCACAAATCCATGTTCCAGATGAAGAAAGCAGGTTTGGAGAAGAGCTAAGAGAAATCTCTCCCCTAAAGTGCCAAAATAGAAAATATTTTCAAAAATAATTTTGTATCTCTGTGTTATTACCCACGACAGTGATCAGGATGTGACAGCTGTTATTATCTGAGAGTTGTTAAGATTGTAACGTCTTACACATGTGTCACGGTTTATAAAGATTTTGTTCTGGTCACCCTACTTTCCAGTCTTGGTAGGAATAGAAGGAAGTTATGAGAAGGCTAATTTTTATTTTTATTTTTATTTATTTATTTTTTTTTACCACTAGGGCTGTAACAATTAAATGGGTTATTGCTAGGTTCTTCCAGATTTCATGATTTCATAACTTCATGACTACATGACTCTCCAGTGACCACATTTTCCAGACTGAATTTGGGCCATATTTTTGCCAAGTAAAACCCTGATAGCTCCCTTTTCAACCTGGAGCTGCAGAATGGCTCCCAAAAAGAAGAGTGGTGAGAAAAAGAAGGTCTGTTCAACCACCAATGAGCTAGCAAAGAGAGAATACACAGTCAGCATTCACAAGCAGATCCATGGAGTGGCTTTCAGAAAGCATGCTCCTCAGACACTCAAAGAGATGCGGAAATTTGCCATGGAGGAGATGGAAACTCCAGATGTGTGCATGGCCACCAGGCCCAACAAAGCTGTCCGGGCCAAAGGAAGAAGGGATGTCTCATACGATATCTGTGTGAGGGTTTTCAGAAAACGTAATGAGGAAAAAGATTCACCAAACAAGCTTTATATGTTGGTCACCTACACATATGTCACCACTTTTTTTAAAAAAAATCTACAAATAGATAATTGAGAACTAAGCACCGATGGTCAAATAAAGTTATAAAACTGCAAAGTTCTAATACTGCTAGAGTTCTCTGAGGAGTTGACTGGATATCTGTCCCCCTCAGACTAGGGGTCACTGTTAAGACCCTGGTATGGTTATTTACTACTGTATAACAAATTATCCCCAAATTAAGCAAAAACAACTATTATAATCTGTTGTGGTTTCTGTGGGTCAGGAATTAAGGAATGGCTTGACTGGGTGATTCTTGACTGGGTCTCTTAAATGGTTGTAATCTAATGGTAGTTGAGACTGAAACAGTGGATGGGGAGCAGCTGGAGGCTGGCTGGGTATCTCTGTGCAGACTCTCAAGGCCTCTCTATGTGGTCCTTCTATTTAGGCTAGTTGTGCTTCCTCACAGCATGGTGGTCTCAGGGCAATCAGGCCACTTGCATGGTGGCTCAGTGCTTTAGTGCATTGTTCCAGTTCACAAGGTGCAAGCTTCATCCTTGCCTATGGTTTAACCTCTGAAGTCACGCAGTGTCACTTCCTTGACATTTTATTGGTTACAAATGAGGCACAGGCACACTGAGATCCAAAGGAAGGAGAATTAGACACCACCGTTTAGTGGGACCGTGACAAGGTTCCAGAAGAACAAATGGGATAAAAGTGACTGACGCATCCATCTTTGGAAAACACAGTCCTCCACAAGCCCTTCCACAGAGTGTCAGACCTGAGGAATGAATGTTCCCCACTAAAGTCTGTATGACAGTCCCGATCCTAAAATGTTGTATGTAGTTCTGAGCACCCATTTTAATCAGGGTGCATGGAAGAATGGGAAATCTCATCCCCTGAAGAATGAGCATGAGAACTAGCTTTCTTTTTTCCTGATAAGAGATGTAAGAGGAGGTGTGGTCACTATCTTAGCACATTTGAAGGACTGTCAGGTAGGAGAGGGTGCAGGCTTAGTCCGGGTTGCTCCAGAAAGGTAGATAACTACAAGGTTTTTCAAGGCCCCTGAGTATCCCAAAGAAGAAGCTCAGAGGGTTCCCTGGCTGATACCTCTGCTATATACATTCTACATCCAATTTCCTCTGAAAATGTGCCTTTGGATTAAAAACTAACAATGGGAGGTGGGAAAAGGAGGACATCTGGGATACCTTCAACAATACATTTTAAAAATTCAAGAAGTTTTCAAATCATTAGACTTGATCAAGTAATATTCCCCAGACATATCATGAAAAACAGTTTGACTGAAATAATTAAGAGCACAGGTTAAAGAGTAGGGCTGCCTGGGTTCAAGTCCTGGCTCTGTTACTTACTCGTTATGTAACCCTGGGCATCTTAAGCTCTTTGCACCTTAGTTTCCTCATCTGTCAAATAGGAGTACCAATCAGATGGGGTGATTGTAAGGCCAAAATAAGTTTTTCTTTAAATATTTAAGTGTAATGCTTAGAGTAGTGCCTATCATTTATTAAGTACCACCTAAGTAGTTATTAATAAAAAAGTGTGAGAAGTGTTCAGGAGTTTGCAGTGGAAACTAGTTAACAGGCATGGAGTCACTGCATGGTTCTGAGCAGAGTCTGTAAGTCAGCTATTTTGCTAAAGGAATTGCTCATGGGGTGGTTCATAGCACACTCTTCCAAAAGTCATTTTAAAGAGCCAAGAAAGGAATCTGAGGCCACCCATCTGCTGGGTGGTTTCTGATGGTCTAGACCCTAGGTCAGCAAAACTTTTCTGCAAAGGGCTGAATAGTAAATATTTTAGGGTGTTGTAGGTCCTATGATCTTGGTGTGACACGGTAGCATGAAGCCAGTCATGGACCGTACATACATGAATTACATGAATGGCTGGGCTGACTTTGGCTCACGATCCTTCTCTGTAGCTGGCCGATTCTAGTTTAGATCATGTGCCAAGCTTGAGGAAGCTGCAAATAAAGTGGTTTTTGATGGGGCTGAAGAGCAACAGGAGTTGGAGGGGAAGATAGGGCAGAATAGTGGCATTACAGTGCCACCTCTCTTCCTCGGCCAAACTCACTGTGAGTTTAAACCCGTCCTCTCTGTGTGTCTAGAAAACTTGGCACCACGCATCCAGAGACACAGAGGGCGGCCATATTGGGAATGAGAGTTTCCAGCTCATTCATTCTCTTTGCTTTGTGTTTTGTTATTGTATTGCAAGGTCTTTGGAAAGAGAGCTCAGGCTTTTATTTTTCTGCAAACCAGCTCTACAACGCAGAACAATGCTGTCCATTTTGTGGCTGGTCAGCGATCCCTTGCTGACTGTCTTTATTTCCTTACCTGCAAGAGGCTCTCCCCAGGCCCAGATGGAAACCTACAAGCTCAGGAGGGACTAATTCAGCGAGACTCTTCCAAGGGAAGTTCGGTCCCGGTGGGAAGTGATTGCACACGGATGGAATTTGTGCACACGGGATGGAAAGATGATCTTTGCCTTTTGGCCTTGTCACAGTAATAAGTGGGAGACCGATTATTTCTAAGAGCAGCAGTTCTTCCCGGCACTGATAAGAATGGAATGCGGGCTACCACGGAGATTCAGGTCACTAATTAGTCCCAGAAGCCTCCATGCCTTGAATCACTTTTGTAATAATTATGTATTAAATGAGAATGTTTGCAGAGGCCCGGGGCCAGCTGTGCTGCGGAGCCTGGTGACGGCATAGGGAGATCAAGCGCGTCCTGCCCACGGGTGCAACCCAAGGCCCGAGTGTGCAATGACCCTGCCTGGTCTCTGACCCAGCTGTGCACAGCCTCCTCCTGCCAGGGAGCTTGTGATTGGCGCTGAGTGGACAAAAGGAAGAAGACCATGACTGCCCCTCAGTTCACCCCTCTGAGCCCGATGCAGTCATGCTCAGCTGAGAAAAGACTCAAAACAATCATTTGGACATTTTATTTCCACAAGTAATATATACAAGATACTTCCAGGTGTTGCTAACATGGAGATAACAGTCTGGTCTCTTTGTCTGACTTTCAGTTTTTATTTCAACTTTTTAGATTTGGGGAGATCTGGCTGTAGCTATGGTTAAACTATTTTACCTACTTTTCTTCTTTTTCTTCCTCCTCCTCCTTCTCCTATTCTTCCTCCTCCTCCTCCTTCTCCTTCTCCTTCTCCTCCTCCTCGTCTTCCCTTCTTGTGTTCTCCATGAGCATGAAACCAAAACATGCTAGACACTCAGTTGTAAAATAAACAGATGATAAATAGCAGTCCCTGTGACTGCTGGGTTATAATTCCATCGAGGGCTTGGGTTGAAGTCATAAACCACAAGAAGTGAAGCGTGGCCCATAAATAGCCTTCAAGATGGAATTACAGCCCCATAACTCAACGTGGACCTTTGAAAAAATAATCCTTCAACCCAGCCTTCATTCTAAGAAAGAGCCCTGACTGTAGTAACATCTTCTGATTGGTTCATCAGTAAACAAATAATTCCTTCTGTATTAAGGTGACATTTATTAGTGCCCTGGTGAGTGCCCTCGCTGTACTCGTGGAGGTTATTACTGAAACCAGGCAGCCGTGCCCCAAACAGAGCCAGCAAAACAGAACCTGGAAGCCTGTTTCACCACACTGAACATCAAGGAGCAGGAGGTGAGGAGACAGCTGGGGCCGAGAGGAAGAGATGTTGATTCCTGAAAAGATGGGGGCAAGAGTCTCTTGCCTTTCTTTTACTTCTTCTTTTCTTCTTCTTCTTCTTCTTCTTCTTCTTCTTCTTCTTCTTCTTCTTCTTCTTCTTTTAAATATATTTTATTGATTTTTTACAGAGAGAGAGGGTAACATCTATGAGAGAGAATCATTGATCAGCCGCCTCTTGCACACCCCCTACTGGGGATGTGCCCGCAACAAAGGTGCATGTCCTTGACCTTTCAGTCTGCAGGCCGATGCTCTATCCACTGAGCCAAACTGGTTTCAGCTCTTGCCTTTCTTTTCACATCTCTCAGCTCCCCTCTTTTTATTTGTGGGATATCAGGTAGTGGCTGAGTTGGAGTTTTGTGGGAAGTAATCGGTTGCCATGAATTCCATCCCTGCTAAAGATGGGCTTGCTATTTTCCCAACCGATTCTGCTTGATCTCATGATCATGAAAGCCAGTTGATCTCATACAACCCAAGAGGTATGACAGACTTTTTCATGATGGCTTCTTGTGTGGTGAAAACAAATATTCTCAAGTTATAGAGAAAATTAGCCAAACCCAACAATTCTGCAGGAGTTGGGTGTTTAAATGGAAGCTTTTGATGATCAGAAATTAAGCCATCAAAAATCCCCGAAGAGCCGAAACAGGTTTGGCTCAATGGATAGAGCGTCGGCTTGGGGACTGAAAGGTCCCGGGTTCAATTCCAGTCAGGGCATGTACCTTGGTTGCGGGCATATCCCCAGTAGGGGGTGTGGAAGAGGCAGCTGATCGATGACTCTCATCAATGTTTCTAACTCTCTATCTCTCTCCTTTCCTCTCTGTACAAAATCAATAATATATATATATTTAAAAAAAAAATCCCCAAAGAATCCACTGTAGCCTTAGTATTCAATGAAACATCTATGCAAGGGCTGGCAGATGGTACGGGCTTACTATATCGTTATTCTTTGTCACAATTTGAACCATAAAATTCAGAAATATTCTATGAATGCTCTTGTAAAGATGCTTTTTCTCAATACTGTTATTTATAACAAAAATCTATAGCTATGAAGAAAAGAAAAGCAATAGCAAGGAATAATTTCTGATCAAAATAGAAAAAGAATAACAATTTTTATCTGAGCTATTAAAATATAATTTTCATATAGGCTTTGTGTTTAATTTGCACTTTCTTTTGTAGTTGCTTAAGGTGAAAACTTAGATCACTGATTTGAGACCTTTATTTTTCAAATACAAGCATTTAAAATTACAAATTTTATTCTATTGCTTTGGCTGTATCTTACACATTTTGATATGTTTAAATTTTTGTTTGGGATCAAACTATTTTCTAATTTCTCCTGTGATTAAGTGTTGACTCAAGTGTTGTTTATTTTCATTAAATCTGTATATTGCTTTGGG